TATAACTGTTGTTTTTGTTGCCGATTTTATTTCTGTAAATATTCCCACCCAACACGTCGTTTTTGCCTAATGGCACTGGCTAACACAGTCCACAGTGACGAGTTGGCGGCTCAAACACAGTTATTGATTTTCTACACGTTCAAAATTTTAGTTATTGTACACACGCCACAAGTAGCCATCCCATTTGTTGCTGTTTTTCACCTCTGACGATGGACTCCTGCAGGAGCCCGAAAGCACAGGACAAAGTACAATTCGTTCCAGTGCTCGATCGTGTGTCTTCTTTACCAAAATCTAGATGTGTTCTTCGTGGAAAGATGACTTAAAAACTAATATGTAAGGTCAAACTGCGCATCCTATCGGCTAACTCAATAAATAAACGTTCCTAATAAGGTAACTTGCCACATGTGAATTTCATGCAGTACGCAAGTACGGTAACAGTTATGTTGGTCTTCCGAGAACGCTGTCTTTCGGGACCGGTGGTACTAGTTTAGTTTACTTTTGAGTTTATTCGTTAAATTTTAGTTTTAATTTAGTGTTATTTACTCTATCTTAGGTTAGTTTGTTTACTTTAGTAAATAGTAGTTATTTAATAATGTCAAAACTGAAAACTTAACAGAAAAAAAACGAAACCTAAAATTAAAGTAATAAACTAAATAATAAACTAAAAAGTAAACTAAGACTAAACTAAAACGAGTAAAAAAGTAACTATAGAAATATGGATAAGGTAACAATTACCGCATGTACTTTAGCTTACGGCTTATAGCCCTCTTCAACCTTTGAAAAGCACATGCGCAAAGTACATGGAACACGTAGTCAGTGGAAAAGGAATATCGCTGGGCTTCTCCACGTAACCAGCGTGTTTGGCGACTGAATTAACAAAAGAATGTTACACCTCGGAAAGAGAGGAAGAGAAACAGTACCTGGTCGGGTAGAAAGGGCGATGGCAGGCTGTGATTTTTTCTTCTTTTTCCTCTTCTTTTTCTTCTCTCCGCTCGTCCGCTCTTTTTCACTCATTTCATAGGAGGGTAGGTTAGCCAAGAGGCGGGACAGTGTAGAAGGCAGTGCCCATCCGTTGCCAACCGAGGCGGCAACTACTGATGTCGCGATGGCCCTCAACGTACGGTCAATCTGGGTTGTTCGAAAACGGGAACGGTTAAAATGAAACACAAACACGTATGCTGAAACTTGAGGGATGTGTAAATAAATAATGGTCAGTGACAGAACATATCTAGTTGGTTGAGCAGACTAGGTCGCATACGGGCACTCATACGTCTAAAATGCTCGAATTTGCTCTACATTAGATGCATGAATTAGGGCAATACCTAACTGTGTAGGAAAGATCCCGATGTAAGGCAAACCTACTGACTGGACACATTTTCCAAATGGTCTGGAGGTCAGAGATGCGGAAACAGTCACTTTTGTAGCTGCATGACCTTGATACAGTGGGCATTGAAAACGAAAGTCGAACAGCCGAAAATATGTAACTTGAGAGAGTGCAGGAAAGAAAGAGAGAGAAGCTGTTGGCTTGATAATGTAAGCGGGTTGTTTGGAGGCAAACCGAGTTTTAGAGCAAAGAGACCGGACATCGGGAAAAGGCATCAAGCAGGAGAGGAAGAGGGCATACTACTTACCCAAGTCCAATCAGCGCTGCCGCAGTAAGGAGGACCTACGGTACCCTCGGAGTCAGACCATACTGCTTGAGTGCAGGGCAGGAGCCTAGAGAGGACAGTGGACGGAGCGGCGAGTGCGGGTACCACCATACCGTGCTGCGAGCTCACCGATACCTCTTCCTAAAAGGTGAAGCACGACGTGGATGGGATAAGCTACTGGTTATTGACCTCGGAATGACTTCGCACGGAGCGGCCCTGACGAAGATCCTTCAATGTATGCCGTGTTTATCTCAGATCGAAAAAACGAAGGAAATAGTTAAGTTAATAAATAGTTGTTTAGAAATACCAACATTTTTCGAAAGGGTCGAAAAATGTTTTAAGTGTGTTAAGTTCCGTTTTAAGTGTTCTGTCCATGCAAAAATCGAGTAAATAAACCCGCGCAAATATAAAAATGTTTCAAAACAAGAAGTTGTGTAAAATAATCTATGGGGATTAGCACGTACCTAATAGTTTGACTGTAAATTCCTATATAGGTTCATGAGAAATTGTGGTATTTTGCCGTTTCCACATCTTTTAGGAGCCAGTTGACTAAGGCAAATATTTTTTGTTCAAAAACGCACATGCGGCCATCAGAGGACGTCATCGTAAACGTAAAATGATGTGCTTGTTAATAAGACTTTCATTCCGTCGCATTGCTCTTTATAGGTGTTTCTGCTGATTAAGTATGCTGAGTTGCAGGTCGTTCTTGAATCAGTGGCGAACATTTAACTATCCTCTGTGTTCTCGATCAACAAAGATATCGTCTAAAAATATTTACTAAAATAGTTGTTTTTGCATATTCATTCTAACAAAAGTGCCCTTATTAGGTCATATTGGGAGACTCATCCAAACATGAAACAGGATACACGTGAAAACGGAAATCTTACGACAGAATTCGGCAGTTTACCTATTTAAAAACCATTTACTAAGGTACTTCGGTGAAGAATGCCTGCGTAATTTAACTTTTTCCTAGGTTAAAGGGAGGTGAAAACTCACGAGGCAGATTACGCATGTCACAGAGGCCGGTTTCATCTCAAGCACCTTAAGTCGGTCAACATGCGCAGAAGGTCCCAAGACAGCAAACCTAGAGAGGTTGTTTGGCTCGTGGGAAGGGTCACTGGGCTCCATTTGTTCATCCTTTGTTCGGGGATCAAAACAGGAGGGAGAAGGGAACATTTTAATAGCAAAATGTCCACAGGCAACTGGAAACTGTCCGCAGAGTTAGCATATTTTAGAAGCTCGACACGCAAGTTTCTAGCTGATGCGGACAGTGAACGTGCCTTCATTTTCTGCTCCAAAACCCTACAGCACAATGTCCGCTTATTTCGGTCTTACAAAGGACGACTCACTAATCACGAGCGCCTGTCAGCCATTACACCACATACAGCAAGTCCAGAACAGACATCACGAGTCCATAATAATATGCAAAATCTCAATATCAATACATTTCAAGTCTATGAAGCAATAACAACAGCCGCTTTTACAATTCTATATGTGGGTTACATGTCCACTTGTCCAAACAGACAGACTAGGGTTACCTCAAAAAACCATGAAATCCACAGCCCACCTTGAGCCCAGGGAGGACAGACAACTCGTTCTTTGTTTTCTCATAAAGCGGGTGTTTTTCGTTAATTACACATTGAAATCTTTTCCATCCAGTGTGCCCTTTGCAATTAAAAGAGTAATTTAGGCGTCAGATATGATCAACCACACCAGAGTACTCAGCATAATTAAACTGGCACCATCCTATCATTCCTACAATGAGATATGACAATACAACGATTGGAGCGACACATTTTCCATGACTTTAATGTTTGCGATCCTCCATACTGGCGGGGGATGCTGCACAGACAGCTGAAAGTGCCCTCGTTACTGGACGGTACCAAAGTTTTTTTGGGTTCAGAGACAAGTGAATTACACGGATATTTGATATGAACCGGAACTACCAGAGTCTTCGAAGTTTTATTTATATAATCTCTTGTTCCATGCAATCGCACCCCTAGGCAGATCGAATGTGATTACTTTTAGAGACACGGACAGTGGATAGGTCAGAATCCCTGAGATAATCAAGGGCCGTTTTGTCTTCTTGGGCTACCAAATGAATAGATCAGAGACGGAGCTTGCAGGCCATGCCAGCGCACAGCTCCTCCAGCCGGCCGCATAAATGTCAGTGCTAGCGGTTCAGCAAGCCAAACCACAAATCGGTGACCCCCATGCTAATGAACACCATACTGAAGCCGAAACGAAAAAGGCTCACTCTAGCGAACTCCTTGCTGCTACGCACTGGGCGACACACAATCAGTAGGTGTTTGCGAAATGAGTGACCTGCATCATACAGAACATGAAAAAGGAGGAGGACTTACTGATTGAACAGACATCTTCTCACTTGCCCCCACGACATCCCCAAGCTGCGCACTCGCGGCAAACAGCTTACGCTGCATTCTGGCCATCTTTGCGAGGAGACTCGATCCACGCTCGGCTTTTACTCGACGCTCCTCTTCCAGTTTTGACACCTGCACCTCCACCGAAAAATGGAGACAGAGGATAATTAAAAAAAACTCATTTGCACTTGCGCCTCATAGGGCAGGTGTTACCACAGTTAACAGCACCAAATGTGGCTACAATGAATGGAGCAATTGCCTATACTAGCGAACATGCGAGACCCAGGAAGTAATTGAGAAGAAGAAGAGTCGATCGCTGGGAGTCGATCGAGTAGTCTTCTTCTCAATGGAGCAATTGTTTGCTCACAATCGGTCATGCAGCACTTGTTATCTCCATGCGCTCGTTTTCCATTTTCTTCGTTAAGGTTAAATTGCCACAGTTTGGCGCAGTGCTGTCTCCGACCCAATAACCCAATGGACGGCACTTTATTTTCAAATCGCGCCTTTTTTTGGAAGTGGGCTTCCGAAGTTCACCATTTGTCAGCAACTGACATGTACAACGGGAAACGAGAAAGTGGCACCCTAGTCGCATCAAAAAATATTGAGGAAGAAGGATAAAGGAAGAAAAGTCTGAAACGTCGCTGGAGGCCCTGGACAGAATGTTGCCCAAAGATCCACGAACTACAGCTATCCATTCCTATTAGATTATTAATTCTTAAAAACTGTAAACTTCCGTATAAGACGGGGGGGTCCCTGGTGGGAATTACAAACATATTTTGAAAAAAATGTCTTGGGCAGACTTAGATAGGACAAAGCAGAAATATAACTTACCCCTTCAGTAACTGTCATCTCTTTGAAAGTACAAAGCAGAGAGAACGCGGACCGACTCTCAGCAATTGTATTCCACAGCTTTATAGTCCACCTGTTGTTGCAAATGGACAATTCTGAGCTCATCACGTAAGGCAAATAGAGGAGGAGCCAGCAATTAACTGGCACAATCATCGGTAGTTGCTGCGTAACCGAGGAAATCAGTCCCGGATGACTCAAACATTCAAGTGAGCGGAAGTGAAAGAGGTGGTTCATAAAAGGCAAAATACATTTTTGGATTCTGCAGCCGTTGTTTTTTTCAACTTTAAACTCAAATATCATGTTGTTACTCACAATAAGGTGACCGACAGACTTCCGCATTCATTGGAGTATCGCGCGAGCTCCACTGCCGAGGGTAAAACAGAGTAAGTGCAATCGCAATTGAATGTGCTTGAAATAGCTGACGAATTTGGAAGAGCCAATCTACGCACGCCGCACACAAACGCAACTTCAACGCCTTGCATACTTAGCTAACCTTTCGATAGGCCCCCCAAAGCACATACAACTACTCTAAAAAGCCACATTTTAAAGGGAGTTGTCGTAGTTAAATCATACGCCTGATTATGGCAGATGGCAACATCCCGAGTCCAGACTGATAGTGCGCTGTCACTCATTGACCTGCGTCATATTTCTTGCAGAGGCATTTTTTTCCTCGGCATGAAGATGGGGCCCATAGTGTCGTCCTCATTCTCTTTCATTCTTTCTGCTGCACTGGAATAGAGTGTCTAAGCCCAATACGCAAAGCGCTTGGGTAAAGCGGTTAGGAAGGTTAATGTGATACGGAAGCCTGGCTATATAGATTCTACGCGCGGTAATATTTTGGAAACCATAACAACAGCGGAAAACTGGGTCAAAAAAGCAGCATGCGGATTGTAACCGAAGGGTTGTTGTCCCATACAGAAATGAAGTGTGCAATTTATGCGAATCAGTTTATGATTTCCCAGTGATGACAGACAGGAAGAATTTATTCCCAAAGAGAGAATTGCCGTGCACTGGGAAAAGGTTCTGTTAGGCCTCCCTCTCTTTATAATTACTTCGGCGCCACCTGTATTGGGAGACTGGTAATTCTAGACGCATTTGCTCATTTGCTTGTATCGATAGAAGAGTCAATGTTAATCGAAATTCATTAAAATTCTATTAAAGTACTTGCTAGCAGGTACACTAGCAACCAACGCAATTTCGAAAAGGTGTTTAAAGTTGTCACAGGGTAACAGCAAACAGAATCAAGTTCCAATCGGTGCACAATCTGGATAGTGAAAGTAATAACCCGACGACTAAATGAACCTATATCGTGCCGCCGAAACAAAATTGCACAAATCAACGTCCTAATACGATGCCTCTGCTGACGGCAAACAAACACAGACACTAAACCAAACACCCGCACTCCTCTATGCTTCGTACAGCAAACCTCGACGGCTGGGTTGACTGTCATTCGTCAACATGCAAACAAGTATTGGCTTCATAAAATGCCACGGAGGGAACTGGGGGTATTTAACCACCAGTGCTCGAAGACCATCTCTTGAGTGAAGTACACCGACGTTTTCTTAAATAAGACAACCCTCACTAACCACAAGAACACCACTAGGATATACTAGGTCATTTAAGAAAGAAGACTTCGATGTTTTGGATACTTTCTTCGTCGTTCTTTTGACGATCGCAGTGTTACTGCCCTCCATTTGACAGCGTTAACCAGTCGAACGTGGATCGTCGTGCGTGGAGGTACGGTTCGGAACAACAGCGAGGCCGGGGACTTCAATGAATTAATAAATAGAATGAGGGTCCATTAACCATGACTAAATAAAATCCGGGCTAATGCGATCGCCACCACTCGCGAGAATTTCGGCCTCAACGAATTTGAAAAAGACGTAATATTTCACAAAATATACGAAAAATGTTTTGTACTGAGTGTGACTTTTGCACTCTTCCGGAAAGAAACCCATGGAAAATCCGGCCTCCTCGTGGAATTCTGTTGCACAATAATTACTATCAGAACTCCACCTAACCGATCCTTTTAAAAATAGAAAATGCCATTCAGCCTTTAGGTTAGCATTGCCGCATAAAGGCAGCTATTGTGCTTCCGAATTAGGCATTTTGTGCGCAATGGCGGTCAGCTCCGTCCAAGTAAGTTTAAATAAGGGAAAGATAAGCTAACGCCTCTGAGTTCCCTGTTTGTAAAGAAATGCCTAGGAAAAGTACGGCTACAAAAGAAATAATAAAATAGAATGTCAATTACATGCTTACAGGCGAAAACTGAGCAACTGTTGGGTACTCGAAATATTTATGATTCTACACGCGTAGAAAAACAATTGTGTTTACTTGTGTTCCGCTTGAGTTAGCATGTACCTGGTGGATGAGATGTTAGATGTATGTGCAGTTTGCACTTAAATGTATTCACGCATATGGAGGAGGGACACCTTGAGCAAAGAGTGTTCAACGCTGCAACCATTCTGACAAAGTGTAACGCTGCGAATTCGTAAGCGTATTTAAGCTCAAAGGATGACTGACGAACACTGTAATGAGTCACTGCTCTTTGAGTATTAACAAACACAGAGGAAATATCGACATATTTTCTCTATGCACGCCTCTTTTGTGGAAGGACTGTGGAGGCGTCCATTTTAATGTGAAGAAGATGTTCTTTGGGATATAAAAGTAACTTTAATGAGTTAATTTTTGAGTTTGGCGCCCCAACTCGTCTTCGGACTAACAGAAAAAGTGCAATGAACAACGAACGTCTTCTTCAAATTAAAATTTCTCTGGATGTGTGTGTTCCAGTTTATACGAATGAACGTCGTTTTTGTTTATTCTGAAGGAGACAAATTGGAAATCTTTGCACATCTAAGCTACCTGATTTACGCAATTTTCATTAAAAGTTTTTCGCAGGAGAGCAAAGAAAGCACTTGCCTGATCAGATCTGCCTGATTTTTGCAGTATGGCTTTTCAAGTAGGACCTCCAGACGACGCACGAGACAATTACTAGAGAAGATCAAGGGAACAAGACAAATGATAATGATAAAAATAGGATGAAGAAGGAGGATGAAGAGGAGAAGGAGAAGAATAAGAAGATGAGGAACACGATAGAGTAGGAGGAGGATAGTTTAAAATGTTGCGGTCTGGTTCTTTAACTCCAAAAACCCACAAACAGTGTAAAGTGATAAGCTCAAATTTCCCTTGTTTACTTTGTCTGACGGCGGGTGGGTGTAATCACCTCGAACAATCGATTTTATCTCCTTTCACTGCACCTCTTGGTTCTCATTATACGGCCTGTGGATGACTTCTCAGTGTTCACGCATTCGGAGCGCATTAGGAAAATGCAGGCTTTAGTATTCTAACTGAAAGGAAATGCACACACGTTTTTATGTAGCACCTGGTCGTCGACTGCTCACTATCTAGTGGTTGTCTCCTCTCACGAGGAATTTGGCCCCCATATACGGCGATGCACATATATTCATCATATTCCCGATCTCAACCGACAAAGCAACTAGCCCGTGGCACAATGATAGAGTGACAAACTCAATGCCCAAAGGTCCCGGGTTCGAATCTCGGGGTTTCAAACCTTTGGATTGGGTATGACTGGCCGATCACGGCCAACAAGCCAGATATGGTCATTCCCATCTCCCTCTGCTTTGTCGGATCCATTCCATCCTATCCTCATAGTCGCTATGTGACTGCCTGCGCGAGCTCTAATTGTGAGCTCCAGGGCAAAGCGAAACTTAATTGCTCCTCTTCTAGTTCGGCGACACACATGCATTCACCTTATACTGACTTTGGTTTCCCGCGATGAGGCCACGATTTGAGGGTAAAAGTCATTCCTCTTTACTGTCACCGCGCGTCCCAAGGCACCTTATTCGTTTACTTTTTGCAGCTGATTTCTCTGAGGATGGCTTCCGAAGTAAAGAGGTCGGCCAGCCTTTTCTTAACTGCTCAACTGGAGCTTGTAGTAGTGAACTGAGCAGGCGTTTACAAAAACACTGCAAGAAAAACCAAATCACACGGATATAAAGGTGAAAGCGTCTTTGAACGAAGTTATCCGATATTGTTCCGATCATTGCTGAGCGCTGCCTAATTGTAAGCATACTATAGTGTCAAAACATTGACTCCATTATTGATCTGTCAACTTCACGGATTGTGCAGGTTGCTGAGGGAGCAACGGAGAATGCAATAAAGGCAACAGCTGAAATTATACTTACTTGTTTGTTGAGCTGGAAGGGTCTTGCCTTTCGCAGTGCCGCAGTTCTGCAAGGTGCTTCAACTCCTCAGCACTCTCAGATGCTTCAGGCACTAGACTGACCGCTTTCAGGAAGGGCCTTTCACCAGTTTCTCTGATAGAAAAATGCTAAGATTTAGATCCCAATTGGCTTTTTGATCAAAAAGCGTTGCACCATAACCACCCAAAACTTACGCGAAGGCTACAAAGTCCTCGTAGAAAGCAATAATTATCAGATGGAGGACCAGCTCAAGAAGGGTCTCGGACCAGTTCGACTGCTGACTCCCATAGTTGATGCCAGTGTCCAACAGTTGACGAAGGAGGCGGACAAAAGTTGGGCAGCGAAGCAGCCTCAAGATTGGCGCATTCAGTTGATTTACAAAACGTCGTCGAGGACGAGGTGGTGGTGGCGGAATGGGAAAATCAGCAGGGAAGAGGTGGGCATTGGCTTCACGGGCCTGCGTCAACGCCTGAATTACTGCCTCCTTGGCCTTTAGGGGAATAAATGGGCATGAAATATTGCGCATGCTACTGAGTAGTTTGCAGTAGGAAGTTTTTATAAAAAAGCACGCACTTGGTTTGCGAATTGTAGTCTATAGGAAGAATAGAAGAGATCGAATCGGCAGACGAGCACCTCAGGCCGCAAAGAATACTTCTGCTCCCCTCTCACAAACGTCTGTATGGCCACTCGCTGCAATACGCGAGAGATCAGACCTTTAAGATCGCTATCAGAAATTAGATATCGACTTGCAACCACCTTCTCAGTGTCAATTGAGGTGCTCGAATTGGTTCCTGTTGTGGTACGGAGACCACAGTACGGCGGCACCTCATACAGGCAACTACGTAGAGGTTGGGGCGGAATGGCTGAGAGGACCTCTGAGGAGGTCATTGGATGTAGGCAGAGCTGGTGGATGACATCATCCACCAGGAGACCATGCTCAATCTCCAATGACTCGTCCAGATCATTGAAGTCGGGAGGAAACAGGTGTGGCAAGGAGGGTATGGCCGCGACGATTGAGGGGTCGAAGTAGCCGACATCATGACGAGATCGACTGGTCACAATGAAGTGAAGAACTTGCAAGAGGCTCTCCGCGCTCGGTACGTTTCCATAACTCGGATTTGAGGAAGGCTCACTAGAAGAACAAAATGAATTATAACGAAAACTACAGAATAAAAGGGGAGGTATAACTGTCAGCATGAGACCGTAAACAAAATAAAACGAAAAGGAGGTTTTGTTAGAAATGAATAACCCTTCATTTAGCCCAAATGTGAAAAACACAGACTCTACGGCGGCATTAGGGCTCACCACGGCAAGGGCGAAGGCGTAAATATCAACATAGATTGATATAAAGCAATCTGGATAAAAGCCTTGTTCCAGTGATCGCATCTTCTTCTTCTGAACCGCTTCCTGGAACTCACATATTATCCTCTATTGGCAATCTGGATACTTTTGCTTTGATTCTTATTCACGAAAGGATGATGGAGCTGCAACCTGGAAGCAGCCGCATATATAAATGCCACAAATAGGCTGGAACGCTGTTATGGAGGTCGGAGACGAAATAATTTCATTGCCTGGGGTAAAGTAACGTGACCACGCACGGCACAGGCCGGCTGCGAACAGCATGAGGGAAATAAACCAGCCAATCATTTGACTTCATAAAGACGTCTTTCCTCGAACCTCGACATGCCAATCTTTCTTCCATCCATCAACAGACGACAAACGCAATCCTGGCCTTATTTTTGATACCAGGTTTAAAAGTGCACAAGCAAAATACAAGGCAGCGCGCGAGGATATTGTTGATCCTTGGCAGGCGATCCGAACTGCGTGAGTAGACTAGTTCTCTTATAGGATTATTGTAGACTATGCATTAAACCAATCAGCAGAATGCCCAAGCAGAAGTGGGCATGCACTTCACAGCTGCTATTAGCATAGACTTACATCTGCATTGCTTACTATGTCAGGTCAATTTTGTGACGGTCGGCACCCTACTGAAATGCCCCATCTGCTTACCCCAACTATCATAACCCTCTGGCGTCTCACGTTGAGGTTATTTTGGAATCGAAGTAAACACAACGTAGGTAAGTACCCTAGTTACAACAGTTAGCTTTTGCCCTTGTCCAACACCTAAGAATATGCTACGTTTTTCTAATTCTACGAACCTCTATTACTTTCTGGCGCTTCGGACTGACTTTAATGGGTTTAAGGAGGACTTCGATCCAGGGCTCTTAACCCCGACTGAGTATATCCTACCAGGTCCAGATTCTCGCTTGCGCAGTTCCTACTAGTCGACGTCCGGAAACTGTGCCGTGAATCGGCATATTAGTGCGTCGAACTACCCACCCATAAAGGTGGGTAGGTTTGTTCAAGTAGACGTTGCTTGCCGGGGTTTTGCAAGTCTTTGAGAGTGTCTACAGACTGGTCATCAACACAAAGATCGGCAGGTGGAAGAGAGGTGTTCGATCGCGCATTCAAAACAGGGCGTCGAGGGATACAAAAACCGGCAGCTGTTTGAACACGGTCGGCCAGGAACCAACCTTCGAATGCAGCGAAGGGAATTCATTTCCAGTGAGACAACCTACATTCGTCGTAATAAAAATGCTTGAATAAATCATATCTGGCATGAAAGGCGACTGGACTGGTTTCAGCATTTTCTTCCTCACCCGTATCATGAAAGGTCGGGGCTGTCACAGAACGTCCGACCACTGCGAGCCAGTTAAGGCAGAGGAGACGAAGCGGGCTCAAAGACCCACTCGACAGTCAGGCAGACTCTAGACAAGCGTTGCTTTAAAAAGAACAATGTTACTCACAATTTGTGAATAGGGTGGCAATTTTATATTGTGCGTGTACAAAAGTATATGATGCATCGGTCTGTAAACAATAGGATTTTCAAAGGCCTTCCATCTTTCCTCCACCAAATAGACTTAAACTGGCACGCACATGCAAAATAATGAGACTGCCACTCATGAGGTGTAGAATCTAGATAGTATTGAGTACGAATCCAGCACGTGCGACCACATCCGTACTGGGTGCGATTAAAGATATAGCTGATGTTTAAAACATTTTTTCCCAGGTATAAATTTGAAGCAGGCTAAAATGGCAGAATTTATTTGCACAAATAAATTTCGAGAGAGCTTATCAACCGCTTCCTCTCTTTGCATGAATAACGAAACAATTGGAGAACACACTACTTTGAATTTTCACAGAATCAATAACAGCAAGGTCGTGTTAACGTGGCGAATGGCCAATACAGCAACACTTTACGGCCAAAATCTACGGACCAGTCGGTTCCGAGAAAGCCCATTTTTATATCTTTACCCTTAAAAGGAGTCAACATCTCAGATACAAATAAGCGAAGACAACGTTGTTCCATACAGAGAAGGTACTATGCGGCCGAACTTGTTTTCCTCACTCCAAATAAAGGCCTCCCGGTTAACCGGTCAAAGAAAGTCTTGCCTTTGCACACCACCTCAAATTGCGTCTTTGAATTAACCTGCACTTTCGGATGCAAGTACGATGGCCGTTCGCAAAGGCAGTTGGCGACCAGGGCTGCTAAACATTTTCCTGCTTGGCTTTTAAAATAAGAAAACAAAGAGTCACGGTCATCCATTACAAAACACTTGCAAGGCAGTGGTTACTCCCTTGACACTTACACACCTTTCCGAGTCTTTGTTCGAGCACAAACAAACCGGACCTTGCGTTACATGGAAGCATCCTACATATGGCGGGAGAACCCCGACCTATGTAAGTAATTAGACCATGTGGTTAATTTTCCATTGCCTTGGTTAATACAAACCACCTGTTTGTTTGTTAGTTTCCCTCACTACTTTTCATTCCAAGTTGAAAGTTGACATATCTATTGACCATTTGCCACCCTAACATGACCTTGCTACTATCGATTTTTTGAAAATTCAAAATGATATGTTCTCCAATTTGATCATTATTCATGCACAGAGAGGACGCAGTTGATAAGTTCTCTCGAAATGTATTTGCGCAAATAAATTCTGCCGTTTTGGCTTGCTTTAAATATATTCTTGATTGCCTACGTGAAAGCTACCGGGTAAATCCATATTGGGCGGCCTTCAGCAAAGACTTCCGGTGAAATAAGCAGGTGTTCGGTTCTGGCTATTAAGTCTCCATGCAGCACGCAGCGGTATCAATCGTGAGTTAGGATGCGATCATGCAACTCAGGTCACCCTACACAAAACGACATTATCACAATCAGAGTTCTATGTTCAAGTGGCAAAAGCAATAAAAACGAGAGCGATATTTCCTTCAGCGACAACAACAAGCAGACGATCTTAAATTATAAGAGGAGTCGGACAAGCACTTCACCTTAGATATTCCTTGAGGTTGAGTTTGTGCACCATGCGCACAATCAACTCGTCCGGGGGCAAAACCGCGGCCGCTTGTTGGAGAAGCTGATAGTCCCGTCCCACAGCTTCCGCGGACATTCTTTTATACATTTCCGGCACCTGTTTTTGTAATTGAGACAACGTGAGGACTATGAAACTGGACGATGGTGACAATACTAAATTAAGCATATCGAACGGCTGAGAAAAATCACTCACGAAATGTAGAGCAAAATCATCCTCTAGTTCCCAAAAGTCGCTCTCAGCAAAAAAAGCGACCATTTGCAGTGGCCTCTCGATAACCAAATTGGCATAACCCTAAAACATATTAAAACAATTGAGGCCGCTTTCGAAGCCAAGAGTGCATTCAGTAATACAGGGTGAGTGTGAGCGGTAACAGACCTCATCAGCCAGACCGAGCAGAGCGGGATGAAGACCCATTTCAATACCATATCCGTAAAGGGCTGCCAAAAGCCGAGGTAGCGGCTGGAACATGCTCATTGTCGATGTTGGCACGTAGCTCTCGTAGACTTCTGACGTGGCTCCCAAAGTTTGGAAGGAAATGCTTGTTATGTCTTCGTCCCTCTGTCCTGTGCCTGTGAAAGGTTCCACTCGGAAACAAAGATCTATAATGCCGACACGTTGCTCAAAGGCCTAAGAAAGGCAACAAATAAGATTAAACTATGCATAAATTCCGTTCACGCGTCCCTACTGAAGTTTAACTCTCGGATGGTGAAATTTGAGAAATTGTGAAACACACTCACCTCTCGAGTTTCCTTGATGGCAGAGAGGAGGAGTGTGCGATCGGTGCTAGCAAGCAGGGCAGATAGCGAGATGAGAGGAGATAAATCGGAAAACAGGTCGTCAAAGGTGGTCAAAAACTGCCATGCTTGTCCCTCCATCTCCAAAGGTCGATGCATATCCTTGGGGAAAAAATCCATTAAAACGGAATGATATTGCACGAATTACAGGACGGTATACGCAGGAATTCTGATTATTACATCAAACGAATTCAAAAGCAATCAAAAGGCAGGAAATATTTTGAAAATATAAAAATAGACTCATCTGTTTTCATGGCGCTATCTAATTTTCAGGAGAATATGCCAATAATTTAATGTAAGTATTGTAAATTGACTGTTTTTTAACTAAAAAGGGGAGCTTACAGCACAGACACCTACCTGCACGTAGCTGAGGATTTCGAGGAGGCAACGGAAGTAAGCCAGAAAACACTCCCTTGAGACCTCATCCCACCAGCCTTCGGGACAACTTTCGCTTTCTCCAGCCAGCGGTTTTACATACAGTAAGCCTAGAAGAATACTGGAAAGATGAGCGTTAAATTTCAGCGCGCGTCGGAAGGGCGCTCTCTCCGGCAATAATTCCATCTCGAACTCCCAGTCAAGTTCTTTGGGGGGATAGCGGGACTGTCCAGCCAGACTCTTCCCATCGGTTGACGCATCGACTCGCGTGTACTCATGTGCCTGACGCCACGCCTCTTGATTCGCAATCCGAAGCGTCCGCAGGTGATTTTGCATGACTGAGTCGTAGTAATCGAATTTGTAATCAGGATTGAAGAAGTTGGCAGGTCGTGTGGAATCGAAAAGTGGTTCGAAGCCAGAAAGCGGTTTGGCGTTGGCTGCGATCGTCCGACAGAAGTGGGAAATCAGGCGCAGAGGAGCATTATTCTGAAGTAACAGTTGTCGGGCCTAGAGGGCGAAGGAGGCAAGGATTGGTGGGGGTGGGTATATTTGGTGATGCGTTTGCAGTAGGGGACTTCCAGAAACTATGCGTAGAAGATATCAAACAAACATCGTTGACGTCGTACTTATTGCAAATTGATGGGAATTATGTTGCTAATAATGACGATTATTATTGTTATAATGGTGCTAGTGAGGCGTGGTGATGCTACAATTGTTAGGATCTACGCTGAAGTTGACGAGAAGCATGTGCGTTAGTTGGGTTGGTGATGATTGTTGTGGGGATGAGAGCAAACATGCTGACGGTGCTCTTTCTTTTACGGAGTACAAGGATGAAGAGAGAAGGGCAAAAAAGAAAAGAAGGCAGGTCCATGCATGCACACATGAAAGGTTTTAAAAAAATACGTACCAGTTTTGGATGAGTGAGAGCCTGACATGCAGGCTCACGGAAACCGAAGATAGCCGTATATTCATCGTACGCGTTCATGTGGGCAATTCTCTCAAAACGCTGTGTCAAGGAAGGGGAATAAAGCGCAAAACGTCAGCTTTTGAGGTAAGAACATCATCGTCTTTATAGGTAAGCAGCAGAATCAGCATCTACCATAGGAATCCCGGTCGTAGGCCAGAAGGCTCATGGGTTCATCTGAGAATATTTTAATCTCCTTTTCGAACAGCCAGGAGGAGATATTAAAAGGGAACTTAAAACAAACCTCATTCAGTCACCTAAAACTAATCCTGTTCCTTTATAGGTTAAATGGCTGACGCAAGAATCACTCGCCCATTAGCAGCGCGCCAAAGGGATATCTTATCCCCAGCAAGCAAGGTTGGAATTGGATGTCCACATCCACTGGCCGGTTAGCCTGAGGACTACTTCTGATTACAGATAACTTTAGTGTCGCCTCATTCGCTTATTTTTGCTTGGTTATTTAATTCAGTAAGTATGGGGTAAACCGGCGCGCTTTGAAATGAGCAAACTTGGATTTAGGGACGGAGCGCTCAATGTGCTCAGACAAACTGTCAGTCGTATTCGTCCTTCTTCGGACTGGAATATGAGGAGGAGGAATTGAGATCGGCGGAGAAGTACACTTTTTACCCACTTAAATCTACACAATCACGGACTCACTCCACCTATTCGATCCCAACCGACGAAGATGGTGAACGTGATTGTACATGTTGCAGCTTCCAATTAAACAGTATTTTCGAGACTACGTTTGGAAAGGAAGTTTAGCTGCTTTTGTAAAAGGATAGAGGTTAGCGTGCAAAATATCCGCGTTGTATGCAAACTGCACCAAGGACATTCGGTGAATCTACATGCAAATTATGGGCCTAGAATAAAACAATGTACCCCGTCTCTCAAACCACTAGTTAAAGAAATGTTTGCCTAATTAACATTCTGAAAGATCTCGTTCAAGACACAACCACTATTTGCATCGAGATACTTTAAACACAGTGTGCCCTCTTGGCGACTTTTTGGCCTTTGTTGGGTCTTTTGGAGGCCTCTAAGGGCAGTATATACAACGCGGAAAGCTACGTAACTGTTCTGCCAACACACCGCCGAACCTATCCTTGGACCACATGGACTAACTCACAACGAATAGTGGCCCCTTTGATCATTTCATCACAGGGACTTTGTTAGCAACTGTGGCGGACGGCTATAATGACTGTCCACCC